TTAAGTGAGACTTATCCAACTTTATTTTTAGTAAGGATGAAATGTGATGCTGTTTTACACACTTGTACGTTATCATCCGTCCGCAGTAAGGCGATACAATACATAACATATTATTATACCTCATTATAAATATTCTACACAACGCGTTACCTGATTGGTTCTAAGTTATCACCTGATCGGGCCGTAAAACTTCATATTTCCCGTCGTCGGCACGCTTTTCATCATATTCCACCTCTTCGGAACACCTAGTGAATTTTCCCGCAATATAGTTCTCGTTCGTTGAACGAAAACTCCCGAGAGAAGTAGACGTCACAATAGCCTGGTTTACGTCACAATACTGATGACAAGGTGTTGACCCACAGGAGTTTGCGTACCTATCAATTTTGCCAAAATTTTCGGTAAATAAAAAAGATACGTAATACCTATAGTAATAATTATTATTATACGTATTACGTATTTTTTTTATTTAATGAAAATTTCGGTATAATTGATAGGTACCCGAACTCCTGTGGTTGACCAAAGGGTTTTATCGTAACTTTACATTAACAATGAAAGTGAATTTGAGAGCGGTGCCGAATTTGAAAGTTTATGCTTATTTCAAAGGTTTTGCTTGTTTCGGTATAATAAACAATTCATTGCATGATAGTGAGGGAAATATGAAGACTTATTCAGCCAAGAAACATCATATTATTTTTCTTTGCTGAATAATTATATAAGTCTTCATATTTCCCTCACTATCATGCAATAAATGTATAAAATCTCATTATTTGTTTATGTATGAATATATCTATTTGAAGTTTGCTATGTGTATTCAAAATATATGTACTAATTAAAAAAAGTTTAGTGAAAATTTTAGAACGCAATGCTGATTATTTTTCACAATAGGCATATTGTCCGTGATTTTACCGGACAACCCTCGGTGACCGTTAATATAGATGTAGATTCAAATGTAACATTTACCCAGTAAATGCCTTAGGAAGCATTACTTTGGAATCATAAATAGATAACTCGATTTCACAAGTACGATTTAATTACTTTCATTTCTAAGATGATAATGTTTATTAGATTTTATAATTAACCTTTCTTTATCTGTTCATCTTTACCTATAATGAGACTATTCTATTTTTTCTATATTAAGACTAATTCAGTGTAAAATATTCTGACATTTAGTTTGATAACTCAATAGCTGATTTCGACTTCTTCAGTGCTGATGCATCTGTTTGCTATATATATATAATGAAACGGAAGTATAGCTTCACCTTTTATAATTTTTTTCTCCTAATTTATCGCCGAAATATGGCTGAAATATTGCCGACTCGGCGTTAAACAATAATAATCAATGAATAATCTCTCCTAATTTTAATGTTTTTGTCTTCCAACAAAGAGTATTGAAGTATTGAAGTACAAGCCCAAATCAATTTACTATTCCTGTTTAGTTCTTTTAAACAAACATATTGCATTTTCATTTCATTTTGTATGGTAAATCAGTCTCGGGCAAATCGAAAATATGTTGACATTCTTATGACAATGGTTCAAATAAATAGGACCATCATGGCTTTATATTTTCAGAAGGAAACTCTCAATGTTATTTTTCTCAAGAAATTTGTTTTTCAAACTTCCATCGCTGATAATAGCCGTATCGTACCCTAGGGTCTAAATTTGGACAAATACGAATCTACGCTACCTGAGGATACTTCTATATCAATATGATAAATATCTGGCTTTGCTATTCCAGAAAATCTTTTTTGAAAGATTTTTTTCTGTGAATTTTTAAGTGAAATATTGTGTATTGAATTACATGTAGACCTACACTATTCCTGAGAGTCATGGTATGAACAAACTTAAATCTACGGGATATTATACGATTACTTAACCTTTGTCATTAAGCATTATATTGATCCAGTGTTGTTTTTTTTAAACTCAGCTTGCAAACGTAAGAGTTATATGAATCACTTGGATATCATATGAAAGTACTTGATGTTACATTATGTATGTAAAAAGCACTTAAAATCTTTTTCACATTCTCCTGATTAAATTAGATAGAGAAGTGGTCATATTTTTTTTTCTCAGTTGTTTGAGGTAAAAAACAACGAATATGTATGCGTACATTACAATGTAGCGAAACCCCCCAAAAATTGTTATTTGAGTTACTCATATGACCTATTGCTATCTCTTTTTTGTCGTTGGACACTATCGCGCGTTAACTACTTTTGAAAATTCTAACTTTTTTTCATTTAAGTTTACTTTACAAAATATAAAGATAAATATAACATACATGTTTGAAGTTGTTAATCACTGCACTGCAAGAAGAATACCGAGTTAGTTTTGACGTTTCTTTCAGGCACTCATTTATAGTTCATCCGCGTATCCTTTAACTCTCGCCTGCTACATTTTAACATTCTTTTATGGCCTTTTTTGTAAATAGATATTTCTCCTTATCATTTTTATTTTAATTGCGTTTTGAATTACTTCTTCCTTACCGGATGTAAGCTTTTTATTCACTGATGTATATTAAAGTATTCTGAAAATGAAAATCCTGTCTTACTTTCGTTTGGCAGGAGAGATTCAAATATTTTTTTAAGGATCACTGGTAAGAGATATCTCTCTAGCTTAGAAAGGTATAAATAAAACTTTAGGTTAGAAAGATAGAAAATTATTTAAACACGATCAAAAGTCTTCTTTAAGGGAAAATCTTATGTAACATCAAATTACTTGTATTTAATATGGGGGTCAAAGAGGAACTTTACAGATATGTCGGTGCGTACTTCTTACCATGCGTCCATAACCCTTTCTAAAGAAAAAAGTTGCTATATTTGGATCTCTTTGAAAATTCTAATCGCACGGTAGTTAGTAGGAATAGATTCCTTAAATCTTCTCTACCCTTGCAAATGCACATGTTGCAGATAAACTAGAAATAGAATGGCTATGATTAGCAAGTCCTTTATTCGTCTTCAAAATATTGAAATTTGTGGACCCAGGATCAAAAAGACTGGATAGGGGAAGGACATGTTTTCATTTTTAATTAAATTATTATATTCTTTTAGAGTTTTTCTGAGCATTAAGCAAACAAATTAATTGCAAAGTGAAATGACCAATATAATAGATAAAGCCTTAACTTAGTATATATAGTAATATAGACAAGACGACATGGTCAAAATAGCAAGATCGCACGCGCATGCACGTGCGCTTCGCTCTGATTGGCTGAAACTTAAGTTTCAATATCTTTCTTGTTTTTGTCATAATCCTTTAAAATTCTGAACGTAGCCATACATTATGAAGATCTGCAGTATTATTATAAGAATTGTCATGAAAGCACGTGCATGCACATGTGAAGCAATCTGATTGGCTGAAACTTTACATGCATATAAATTTCGTGGTTCTCAACAAAACGGGATGAAATTTAGAATATGAATAGGTGTAATAGATTTCCACATAATGCTCTTCTAAAATTAAATGCAGGGACGTACATGCACATGTGTATGCTCAAAATGAATATTATACTTGAACAATGGTTACACTTATACTTGTATTAATTTTTTTTTTATTCTCATTATATAAAGATATATAATTTAGCTAACATGCCATGATCATCTTGCATATGTATTAACGTGTGTGCGCATGCCAAACGTTAAATGACATATAGTTGATATCATGGTAACTTTTTTTTATTCTTAAATGAAACCCCTCGATACTGAGCAAATAAAAAAGTCTTACAGGAATAAAGCACAAAAAGGGAGTTGGGAGCGTTTGGGGAACATCTGTAACGGTCCGTTACAACTAACACTAGTTAAACGTTTTGCTTTAACTGTTTCCTCATTGGTTGTTGTCTCTATCTCTGTATCTTAGCATCCTCCTCTCATTGCCGATTTTGATTAGAAGTAGTTCTGTATCTTTAACATTATTCGTATATCGCAATCGCATGTTCTGAATATTAATTATTATCGTGGAAAAAAAATCGTTCATGGATTGATGCCTCTCCACATTGCCTTATTTAAATTTAACAAATTCACATCTTTTATCGTTTTAATGAAAATATATTTTGTAATCTCTAATGTCAACACTTTTATGTTAATTTTTTTTTTTAGAAAATTATAAATCAAACTACGCGTAAAGTGTTTCTGGATTTTTTGGAGGCAGGGTTTGGTTTCTCTCATCTATTTTCTGAACTTTTTTGTCTAAAATATCAAGTTTGTTTTGAACTGATTCCATACAGGCATTTAAACTTACGACCAAGCTTTGAATGTTGTTTAAAGCAGATTTCACGGATTTCACGTCAGGATAATAAGGCTTTAAAGTTAAAGGTAAACCAAATGATTGTAGTATACTGTCTATGGGTGTGACCAAACAGGTCCCTCTCGCAGAAAGTCCTATCGCCATACCAATGCAGCTGAGTGTCTTATCTGGATTAATACAAAACACAAAGGACCCAGAATCTCCCAAGCTGAAAAACTCTCCTTGTGGCATGTTTTGTATTTCTATTTGATTACACATAACAGCACAGTAATTTGTGTTAGGAAAATTCATAGATTCGTTCATGATTCGCAGATGCACATTTTCAACAGAAAGCTGACCGATTGTAAACCCCGTTGTAGCTCCAAATTTTACAACACTATCTGATATCTCTGTTGTTTTTTCGACAACCTTTTCTGTTTCTCCTACACAATATTGTCGAGGAAGAGAAATAATTTTACCGTCAAATACTAGCAAATTTTCTTGGTCAAATCCTGAAGAAGAAAAATGAAGGAAATAACATTCATTAAAAATAAATCTTAAAGACGATAGACAATATTTTATGATTATTGGACTGCAAATGTTGTTACAGTTCAGTTGTTCAAAAGAAGGACAACATTAAAATATTTTCTAATCAGACAGACAATAGATACGTGTAGGAAAATTAAACTGAATAAAGTGTGCATCAAGGTAAATCATAATATTATGTTAACTGCTTGTTTGATGACGAAAACTATGTTCTAAATGTTAAAAACAAAATTATTTACCTGGTCTGTCGGAACTGTGCGAAAGCTAACTTCTTCTACATTTTGATAAAGTTCAACGACAGCTGCGTCAATACTACACGTAACTTCCCGTCCTGATGAGGAGGTTGGTAAATATTTTGAGGAATAGATACAAGCTGGGAACTTTGCATCAAGAATTTTACCACATACTTGAAATCTGTGCTTGTTCTTCTCAAAACTTTCTATTTCAACTTTTTCAAAATTTTTAGATATTAAGTCTTCTGCTGAAAATACTACATGGGCACAAGTTATTAAGCCTATCTTATTACCAGGAAGGTCCACAAATCCACCTATACTGCCACTGCTACCCCCTTTACGGCGAATATGACCTCCAATTTCTAGTGAACCTTGTGAGCAATGTCCTTCGAAAACATCAACGTCGTAATGTCCTATTCTTCTTGGAAACTCCATCTCACCATAAGGTATACCCTTTGTGTTTACAAAATAAGGTGATACATTTCTTGCGAACAATTTTGTGATTTCCGGCTGAATATCCAATAGATTTACATTGTGTTGCTGTTATCATGGTAAGATTAGAGTGGCAACTGAATAGTTTCCTTGCAGTCTGCTCTGTAATTATCGGTAATTTTTGGTTTGAGTTAGATGTTGCACAGGATTTATTTATCAGAAGTGCCTCCTCAGACCATTGTGTGCACTCCTGAAAGATAAGCTTTACTCTATATATTTCTTGTGGACTATCATGATGCTTTTTTATGGATCCTTTATATAACAGAATGAAAATAATTTTTTTTGTAATGTCGAAGCAAAGTGATAGACTTATTGCTACCTTCCAAAACCAATGATATTTCTCAGAAGCCTTCTTCTAATGATCAACAATATCACTTCAGGGACAAAACATTGATTTTCATTCTTGATTTGAAGAAACAGTTGAAGAATGGAATTCCTGGAGATCACAAACGTACGAAACAACTCGGCAAAAAGAATATAGTTTCTGCTGTCAAGGCTGTGTTCAATGATTCGTAACATTGCCTCCCTGCTTATAGATCCGTCCTGTCTACATCGCAAAGAACATTTTGCAAAAATAGTTATGAGAGCACAAAAAGCGCTTGAAATGCACTTACATTTTAAAGATCTCAAGATTGAAAATCTCTTGGTTTTTATCCATTCAATACCATCAATTTTCTTCCACATGTAATAACCATGTAAAAGTTCGGGTATTGGATCAGGTTTCAAATTTTTATGGTAATTTATCCATTCATCACAGAGACACAATCAAGATACTCTATATTGTCTAGAATAATTTCAACTTCACTCTTGTAAAGTCTGTCTGCCCTGTGTCGTTTAACAGAGTCTGCTTCAAATGCTTTAATTGTCTGCTGTACTCTAAATCCCCTTTTTTTGCCTCCGAACATATACTTTTTTTGGAGACAAGGGAGTCGACTCTTTCCTTCTAGCCTTATTCTCAGTAACCAAAGTAACAACTCATTCAGCAAGCATTGATTCAGATATAATTGAAAAACAAGAAAATCGACAAAATAAAGTGTTGCTCTGTGGGGTCAAAGGTCATGAGGAATTAGTTATTTTCTCTTAACTGATCGTGTATCAGTCGTGATGTCTTTTGTTTGATTTGGAAACGGAAAAAAGTAGATAATTAAATAACATTGTAGCAGATAACAATCGTAATTATTGAAATTGTAAATCTAAATTCTACTTTTAGGAATTCTGACCTTCAAAGACTTTCTCCGAGCTAGTAATGCTTCCATCAAACAGATCTGATATTTTGCTATCTTGCTCCATGATTCAAAGCTATAAAAACGAAAAGAAAAAAAATTAAGGGTAAGACAGTCCTTACACTTTCCTTTATATTTGACACTGATACAAAAATCTAAAGTAATGTTTGAAAAATGAGTTTATATATTTATTATGTAGAAGAAACAACAAAAACAAAACTTCTTACCGAAGATGTGATGCCCGTTATTCTACATGTTTAATTAAGACAACATTATGTTTCATAATCATGCGGAGATAAGTGAAGTCTTGTGATTTCTATTATGTCGATGGTGACGTGTTGAAAAGGAAGTGATTTATTTTTTAAAAGAAAGTTTACAATTTGATGATGGATATGGGGATAACGAACAATATTCAATATCAAAGTCCATAATACAATACAAAATAGGAGCAGAGCAAACACGGACCTCCGAAACATCAGAGGGGGGATCAGGTGGCATGGAGGTGTATGATATGTATAGTGTATTTAATTAGGATTGATTTTGCAAGTAAATTCATTTACCGACAATTGCCCAAAAGTACAATGTAGCATCTGGATAAGGATCGAGGGATGAAATTACAGTTACAAAACAACTCTTAATGCAAATAAATAGTATTGGTAAAAATAGAGTAACCTTTTTATAATTCTTACAGTACTAGATCTATAACAGTTACAAAACTAGAAAGTCTGCAATTGCAAGCAATAGCGTGTGTCGCCCCGTACTTGATAAGACTTTCATCTTTTTAATCACTAAAAAAAAAACCCATTTAGCTAAGCTTGGACAACCAACAATTCGTATCAGTCCTTTCAGAATTTTGATTTAAAAATCAAAGTAACAGAATTTTCACTTTCCCCTGGTTTCCATGGCAATAAACTATTATTTTAAATGCGAATCGCAGAACTACAATTATTTATCACTAAAATAAAAAAAAAGTTTCATGCCGAATGTTCAAGGGACCAGAGAGAACACTTGCGGACAAAATTCGTCGCTTTTTGCAGTTTTCCATGGCAACTGTAGCCATTTTGAAACTGAATGACCACACAACACAACTACAACCAGTGGTTGTCCTTTGAGGAAAGTTTCAGAAATATTGTCCCATCCATCTCCGAGAAATGGACTAGATGACAAAAACATGCATACAATCGCAATATGTCGCTTGACTTCGTTTGGGGCAACATGATAACAGTTACATTAAAACAGATATATGATAGCAGGAACATAATATAATAATACATAATATTAAAGAAGTAGCAAGTCCATCAACAGGAATTTTGCATAGTTGAAATGCAAATCGAAGAGTATCGAAGTATTTTAAGGTAAGTTAAGGTTTTCTTTCAAAACGTCTTTCTGGAAGGATCATCTCATTAGTCCGTGACTGAAAAGCAGAAGCATTAAACAATATGCGCCACGCGTGCGACTTCTACTAGTTGTACGTATATCAAATTCGGAGATATGCGCATAAAACTAAAGTTCAGTGGAAATGCTGGTCTTTACTATTGAACTGGACGTATATAAAATTGAATTTGTCGTTCTTTATTTTAGTTGATAAAATTATTTTTTTTTTTTCAAAAAAAAAAAACAAAAACTTCAGAATACTTACATTTTAAAGAATTTTATTTCTTGAACAATACGTAATATAACATAAGTATGTTATAGTATTTGACACACGGTGCCAAATATTGGTTTGATTCCGTCACAGGATAAAATTACACCATTCAGTCGACGGAATGGTAACTGGATGACCACTGAATGGTTACTGAAAGATTACTGAAAAAAGATCCTTTCTCGTGACTTTTCCGTGATTTTTCTATTATTCCGACGACTGAATGCCAGATACATTTATGTTGCCTTTCAGATATCCTTCAGTTGCATATTCTAAAAATAATCTGCTTATATGTATACCTTTAAAAAAATTTCTTTTTATAAAGATGAAAAATGAAAAAAAAATGTTAATGAAAAAAAAAATTGAGCTCAAAGCCGGAATCGAACCATGGCCATCAGCTTGAGAGTCCAAGACCTTTACCGTTACTCTACGACTTCTTGTTAGAAAAAGATGAAATCAACCGAGTGGAAATCAAATTGGAATTCCAGTCAATTTCTTGTATGTAGGAGCTGCGATGTGTATATACCTTGTATATACTTTGGATATTCTATGAAAGTTGCGAGGATATGGGAACAGATTGATTAATTACATTTGTGGCACCTCTGTCACAGTTTGAACATTCTTAAATCCAACAGGCTTTGGTGTTACATATATCTCATCGGGATGATGACAATTATTCGCAACGAGCACAAAATCTTCTTGTGAAGAAAGCTCCTCGGAAAATGTTTTACATTCTTGAAAACTAGCGATATAATTAAAAAAAACACGGGCCTTCAAAACATCAGAGTTTAGATTAAATGCCATGAAGTAGTGAATATCCCCTGCCGACTTGCCATATCCACCGTGTGCTCCTTGTGATGATGGGGGAAAAAATGGAAAATCCATGCACAATGCAGTGTTAACAAAAAAATGGTCTAACAATTTGTATTGGAAACTCTAGTCAGCATTTGACTTAATGATAAATAGTATTTTCTGACGGGGTCATTGTAACAATGGTAGAATTTACGAAATTGGGATTTTTTTTACTGATTTATCAATATAATGTAACTTGTTTAGAACATCTTCTCCCGTATCGGATCAACTGAGAGATAAAAACCCCGTATGTAGGTGATGAAGGTATGTTGCTTAAATCAGGGAAGTTGTCGATTGAAAATTTAAAGTCATCATGTTTATGATAATCGTTTGTTGTAAGATTACCATTAATGTAATTTTCATGTTAACCATTAAAAAAATATGAAAGATATATGTGTCAGACTCTGGGGTATCCTTTACTTCAGGCTCACTGGGATGTATCGTTTCGTTATGAGAATGAAAATTTATTAATTGACAGTATGTCGATATATCTAAGTATCGAAATCACAGTAAGTGTTTTCAACTTGTCACGTATAAGATTTTAGTTGACAAATTCTGCTTTGTCTGAATACAAAAGTACATTTATGTTTTTTTTTTCTTATAAAGAGACGCAATTGGTACCAATGAGAATTCCAATACATTGTTGGAAGATCTGTTATTTAAACTAGAGGTACTGTGAGCAATGAGCTCACTAAATGATACCCCCCGCCTCCCATATCGTTATAACTGATGACAAAGTCCATGTTTTGCCGTGGCCGGGAAACACAAAATATGTGTCTGATCAAAAAGTAAAATAGGAGGTGCACAATGGCAATATGTAATAAAGATTCTGTGAAAGTTTCATTACATTTCACTCAGTGGTATAAGAGGAGTTGCGGATAAGAGATGGGTACCCTAAAGCGTAACAGACGGACGGACGGACAGACGGACGGACGTACAGACGGACGGAATTAACGATTACTGTATACCCTCTCGCTTTTCAAGCGGGGGTATAAAAAACTAAATAGATACTGTCAGTCAGAAACTCTAGCATCTTTTTATTACAAACTATAGGGTGTTTGTTTGTACAATCAAAGTGTGTTTTTGAACATATGGTTGCAAATGGACAATGCCAATGTAAGTAAATTGACGAGTTCCACTTTTTTTTTGAAAAAGCAACTGACAATGATCTCAAAAATGTTTGTACGTTAATTTTACTGAGAATGAGGGATATAAAGATGAAAAGTTGAATTTCTATGCTGTTATTTTTTTTATTTTGTGATTTTAAATTTGCAAAAACAGATCTTTGGAATTTTTTATTATTCACGTCTGATCTTTACCACTTCTTGAATACATTGTTGCACAGTACTACAGAGGTTTATTTCTTTCACCCATGTTAGTATTTTACTTGTAAAGAAAGATACTAAATAAAACATTTACTACAACCTATTTATATCTTTCCTTGTAAAGACTTTTAATGACGTTTTCGAAATTCAATGTAGATATAGTATAGCATCGGTATATCAATGCATTTTCCTTCTATTTTAAAACTGAATGAATCATACAAATTAGTAATAAAAAGTAAAACATTTTCATAAAATAATTATATATGGCTCTGTTATTGCTTGAAATGACAATGCATAAATTCAATAAATACTTCCGGTAGCATGTTGCTACTTACGGTAGCATTGACCTTATTATAAAACAGCATTAGAATAAGGATAACTAGCATTAAATCAGCAAGCAAGGAAAGCTTTCAAATCAGTATCGATGATGCAACAAATTAGTTACATGCACTGTACACTTTTTGCATAATGTCTTAATCATTCATTTGTAAAACATGATCATTTAAATATTGCAACAGGTAACCCGTACATTTAGAATACTTATATTGTCAAAGGAATAAGTGAAGTACTCATTGCAATTGATTGCCGCCCAGCTGATGAGTGTTTCTTTATATGCTCTTAAACCCCATTTTGAGAAATTTACATTCATATTGAGACGCCACCACTAACCAGTGAAGAGCTGCAAACTTTGTCCTATACTCGGCACGTACGGCAATTGAGCAGGGAGGGGTCTTGTTCGTGCCAATACCAACCGCGACATGGGACTTCAGTTTATTTGGTCTTATCCGAAGGACCGGTCTTCATGTCCCACAGGATTCGAGCCCGCGACGTAAGGACCAAATCTTAACTTTGGGAAATTTGAGCACTCTTACCACTCCGCCCCTAGGGGGATACCACTAGTAGAATTAAATCCCAATTCCTCTAAAATACAATTTAAATAATGAAACTTACAAACAAAGACAATGTTGATACATCTACTCTGCAGATAATTAATAGATAATTGAGTGTTCAGACTTAAAAATTGGTGGACGGTAAAATTGTTTGACAATCTAGCTAGAGAGATTTACATATATGTACTGATTTTCTGATCATAAGGAATCGTACTGTGTCTCAAGGGAAAAAAACGAAGTGTAAATGTGGCGGAGAACATTTCACTGTGCTGAGTCTGATATATAGGGAAAAGGAAGAAAAACATTTTTACTCTCGACATTGATGAATTCTAAGGACCATTTTCCTTGTAAATGAATTTCTTCATGTGTTATACAAAGATTTTGATTTTTTAGAACTGTAACTTCTTAAGGTTGTATATGGACAAAAATTGAAGACGTCTTCGAAAATTGTATCTTGAATTTCCATATATTTACACAGAGCGACAGCCATTGAATCAATCCTTGCTGCTCTTTGGAACCCGACAGGTTTAATCCAGTGCAGATGTACAGATTTAGGTATCTTCTTCCTCACTACATGTATCAGCGTCATGATAATAAATAATAGAGATAAACAGATGATTATTAACAGAAATCAAAAATTGCATGTTTCATAAAACGTTTTGCATTATTTTGGAGTTTTTAGACTTTGTACCGTTCACCGTAAGTAATGCAGCAATATTTCAAAACATAAAATCTCCTCTAGTTCCTATATTACATGTATGGATGCTAAGGCTTCTTGAAAATGACTTTAAGTACTTATTGCCGTTGCTGTAGATGGACAAGCTCAAAGTAAATGTGATGGAGAGTTGATGATTCAAAAATACACCACTTTAAGCCTAAACGGGGTCTTACATATCATAATGCATTAATGATAGTCCTTGGAAGTCCAAGGGTTACTACTGTGCGCAAAGTTAGAGAAAATTCGACACAATCATCTGAAAAATAGCCATTTAAAAATAACAAAGAATAATTCCTTCGATCAGATCTAACATGAAGCGTCGTAGTTCATATACCTCATGAATCTTCAAAAACTAAATTCATTTTTCATATTTACATTAATTATTTTTCTGACGAGTTACCACAAGTTACGCCATTCTACTCCCAATTTTAAAGCAAAACAGAATGCACAATAATGTTTGACGTCCAGTACGGTATTATGATATATTCAGAGCCATAATTAGTCATATTCATATGGAAGCATTCTCAGGTAGTGTAGATTCAACTTTGTTCAAGTCATGACCCCCGGGAGTAGGGCGAGCCACAATGTAAGTTCAAAATGTGAAAGGCAATAAAGCCACAGGTAGTCCAAGAAATATGCAAGCATCCTAAGTTAGTGTACAAGCTACAGTGCTCAGGTGAGCGATGTGGCCCATGGGCCTCTTGTTGTTATAGCCATTATAACTTTTATCATACGTCCAACGGGAGACATGTATGACGACAACATGAACGTTTGCAATTGTTTAATAAATAAATGGTTATAATGAAGTATATCATTACAAAGTCCAATTTTTTAGCCAAAGATTAGTTCAAAACATTTAATGATTATCCATAAAAGAACAAAAACTTAATAGAAATGTAAAAAAAATGTGTATAGAAATGATCGCTTATTCCCCCATAAAATGATGCCTGACGTTTAGATTTAGGAGAATTCTGTGGAAACGGAAGTTTTACCCGAGATCATAGTTTTATGCATACTTGATCCCAACGTCGCCAAGATAGTGTGTGGTTATCACTTTTAATGGAGACAGTTAGAACAGAATGTTAAAACTGATTAAATTATGTAATGCCTTATTGTAAACCGGTTAATATTGTAGCTTGCGAAAAGAAAAATCCACAAACATACATGTAAATATTATCAACATGCTTATGCAGTATAATTATAGAGTGTGAATTTTTACAAAATTGTGAATAAAGTAAAGTAATAAAAAGGGTTGTTTTTCTTTTTAAAAAAAGAAGAAGTGTCACAGGTGCTGGAATGTAAAAAAAATCATTTTATGAATAAGATTTTAAAAAAAAATTTCAATTCAATGATTGAGCAGTCTGAAAAGTACTATAATCACCGACTCAAATTGCGAGGTAAATACTGTTCTTTGAAGATGGCTTAGTATTGGCAAAAAGCAGTAACTGCTTTATTTTATTAATAAATGATACATTTATTAAGTAATTCATTCCATCTTACTTGTTAGTAATCTAACAACCAAGCTTATAATAAACGTGATGACTTACTTTTTATTGTCATCTTTCCTTATTTATGCAGCAATACACCTTCATTACCTGCATATTGAGTGTATATATCTCAGTTGATTCGATACGCAAGAACATGCTCTAAGTATGAACAATTTCTAAAACGAGGTAAATTATTGAGAAGCAAATTGATGAAACAAGAATATCAGCAGTCTCGTTTAAAGTCATTTTTCGTTAGTTCTATGGTCGATACAATTTATCATTGATTTCAATGATGACTGACGTTTTTCATACTAATTGTTAGTCCATTATTTATGCACTGAATTTAAAACGGATTTTTCCTCTATTTCCTGAACATGACAAATAGCACATCACGGGGAGGGGGGATTGTGACCGGTCAGTAGGGGATGCTCACTCCTCCATGGTACCTGATCCCACCTCTGGTGTTTCGGAGGTTCGTGTTTGCTCTGCTCCTATTTTGTATTGTTTTATGGACTTTGATATTGAATACTGTTCTTTATCTCCATATCCTACTTGTTTACATTTACGGAAGTCCTAGCCAAATGGAATGAGGTAATTGTGTTAGAATAAACATCATCAGTCGTATCAATTTGTAATTTATAAAATCGACTTTGGTTGCAAAGAAAAAGAGTTAATGCATAATTAATGGGGGAATGATTACAAGGGAGAATTCTTGGAACTTGAAATATTGTTTTGGTGTAAGGAATTAAGGTCAATTATCAGGAACCATATTTTAATAAATGTTTTTCGTCTTAATCAAAATTTAATCTAAATGTTTAGGTTCAGAAAAAAACAAATATGTACAGGGATAGGGTTAAGTCCCTAACCATCCTTCCACTGATCATTTGTACCCCAAATTACATATTCCTAAGCATTATATTTACCTGAGTGAAATTTAGTTGCAACTAAAATGCAGACAATGAAAATAAAAGAAATGATCTGTGAATATCAATTCTGTTAAATTAACAATATTAACATTTCCTAAAAAAGGATTACTGCACGAAACTTTGTGTTTTGTGGCATTTTCGATCGCTTCTGTTACCTTTGAATCTAAACCTCATTTCACTGTTATTTATTTACCACAGAAAACTGTCAATTGGACACCCAACTTAAATATCAAAAATAATTTTAGACTGAAATACAAAAACTAATGTCATGTTTTTGGCCTTACAATTTTCCAAATGAAGAGAATTAACTCTTGCCTGCCCTTGATGGAACATTATGTAATAATGAGAGGTGGAGATAACAATGTAAGAAGTCTAATATTAGATTGGATGAAAAGCAATTACATGTATTAAAATACGAGATTAATATTTTCCACCTCCTTATTAATCCTGTACTGTACAGGTAAATTATTCACATGAGTTTAATACGTGTGAACCCATCGATGTAAGTAAAAAAAAAATAAATTGATCATGATGACTGACTATTTAATATGTTCGAACACAGTGTCCTAGTAATCACAAACCATGCTACATAAAGGCAAGTGAGGGGATTTAGTATTCACACAATTACTTGATAAAAGATATCACGTGGTGTATTATAATATTCAACGTGTCTCAGTCCTTGTTTACAATAGTGAGAGTGGGTGTAAGAAGAAGCAGTTTTTTTTTCTCATTTACACCATGAGCACTTGTTTGTCTACTCCTTTTAACATAACATTAATAGTGTAAAATAATAAAACAACTACTGTTAAAAGGAGAACAAACATGCGCTGACTAAGTATGAAGTCAGTTCAAAAGTGGGCGTCCTCCTTATTATACGGAAAATGAAAAAGAAATGTAATGGTCCCTGCCTTAGACAGAAAGACTCTTACATCGTATATACAAACTTTAATTAATTGTAATTAAGTAAAGCTGTAGATTAGATCTTTCCTGCAATTACAAGAAAAATGACTGTTTTTAAAGTTATTTTGACGCAAATTTAACTGCAGTCATCCTTCATAGGCTAGGATATGCTTGATTAACATTTTTTCGAGATGCAGTATTCTTCATTCATGGCAAAAAAATGTTCATAGAACAACTAAATGAAAGACCTTAATCCACAAAATATCAAACAGCTTTTATAATGTTACAAAGAACTTAGACATATTAAAACATGTTTCTCACATGCTAAAAATAAACTTTACCAAAAATATGAAGACATTTCGTCACAATACATGGAACTATTGTGTGCAGAATCAACTCCATATATTCTTGCCTCCAGAAGTTCTACTTTATCTTTTTCAGAGAGATCTTCATAAAGTGATTTCACACTTTTGTAAGTTTTAAGTTTAAATGGCACTAAACGTTTCAAAGTCCGCGCTCGTATTTCTGGCATATTGTATTCACTTCCATAAAAGTATGATTTCAATAAAAATTCCACCTCTTGTTTCATTGATTGGTCACTTACTTCTTTCAGATCCATTTCTTTAAGAAGCCATGCTTCGCATTTCCTGATAATTGAATTAACCTGGTATTCCTTGGCTAATGGTAGTAACCTCTCAACTGTATAATCTAAAAATGCACAAACTTATATTTTTAAACAAGAATAATGCTAAAATATAATGGAAATATTAGAAAACATCCATCTCATGTAATATTTCGAAAAAATTTATGTACCCCTAGTAAATTATATAAAAATTTGGAGTGTGTAAACTTTTAAGAGAGGCGCAAAAGTCCTTTTCTTATAATAATTATTTAACATATGATTTATTTTATAATCTAAAAGTTTTCAATTCCATTAACATAATTTTCGTCTTCTTTATCCACAATTTACGCATAAAAGTGCATAAGTCTTAATATTTCCGTGAAACGAAAACATTTTACAAAAGGTCAACATACTGCATACAGGTGAACATTTCTCCCCCTTTCGCCCTTCTCAAAAGTCGGCGAATTTAAAACGAGGCGAATTCAATCACTGTGAAATTCTTACACAAAACTATGATTAGGCGAATTTAAAATTGACCAAAGTTGTTTGCAATTGTAAAAGTGCAAAAAATAACAAGGGATGAAAAAACCCCAAACTACCGTATTTTTACTCTTGCTTGTGTAAAATTGAATTACTACATTTTTCGTTTTCCATAGAAAAACTTGCACACAGAAAATAAAAGTACATTGCTTTGATATCTTTTTTCTGCATTTGTTTGATCTATATTTTTAAACATGTATTAAGATAATAAGGTAAAATATAATGCTATAATTCTTGGTTTACTTCAGCTCTTAAGTGCTTATAAATCTTTTATAAAGAAATTATTTTACTTTCTGTTTTATGCGTACAGCATTCTTCTCATTGGGAACTGTCATATTGTAATTTTTGAATTTACCAGGTGGTAGTAAATACAAAACTCACATTATGACAAAATCTTCAGTTACTACAGAATGATATTTGTACTTTGACAGTCCTATCTAACTCAAAATCATGCATTTTCTGAAATACATACAATCTAAATCCAAGAATTTATCTGGAGAGAAGCACATCAGAAATTTTTCAAAATCCCAGTAGGTTTTTCCAGGTAGTTCAATTTCCTTTGAACTTTTTTCTTTGAAATCTGAAGAAAACATTGCCTTAAAAACAGGAGATGCAATGGAAAGAATTGATTTAAAGGTGTACATCTTTCTTCCCTCCACAACAAAAGCAATGTCTGTTATTCCTGGATCTTCGGGAAAGTGATCAACTTCTAAGTCTGCCAAATCTACCTTTTCCGTTTTAATCTTCAGGGACATGATATCAGTGAATAAAGCCAAAACACATTAAATGGCTACTATTAGGGTCACTGACTTTGAAGATCTGTTACGCAGATGAACACAATAATCAAAGGTCTATTTATAGAACCACAATCGAGTTATACAGATATGGATACCCGTTCGGGAATGTTATAAGTATATCAGACATGAAGTTTTAAATATTCAAAGAACTTTTGAAAAATCGGAAATCAGAAATTTTAGCAATAAAAAAGCATAATGATTAAGTTTTTTTTTCAATTTTATATGCAATAACTTCTCAAGATACATTAAAGTCAGGGCTTTTTGACACTATTGGAAGCTCTGTTTTATGTACATGTAAGAGAGCTGTTTGTTTTTGTCTAAATGATTGGTTCAAAATATGCCTTTACAAATTATTAATTATGAAATCCAATTGCAAGTCAGAATAATTAGATTTTTCAATTGTTTGAACTTAACATTTTTGTGAAAATCTTTGTCATAAAACGGTTGTCAATATTGAATAGTGGTCTGATCAAAATGAGCATTTTCTTTTAAAAACGAGTCATAGTCGCCGAAATTGGGGGAAACAGTGGCAGTGTAGTGGGATTTGTGGACCTTGTGTTGTGCAATTCGGAGCCACTTAACGGGGTTAAAAATCGGTCAGCTTTGTGTGGAAAGTGTACCTGTGCGAATATACGAGCCTGAGGGTTGTTCGTGGACAAGTGCAGATTTAAATAAAAATGGCGCATTGATATTTTTGATTAACTTTTAAGTTTACTTAATGTGAATTACAAAATGTATAATTATAATAAATTTTAAATATATAATTACAATAATACCTTCATTATTAGACTTGGGATAGTGACCCGGAGCACCGCAAAATTTTGATTTAAAAGATTATCACTTTATATATTTCATTTGTCTGTTATAAAATTCAGCGGAAATTCGGATTGTTTTTACATAATGAGGTTAACAAACGCTATGACTTCAGACCAGCAAAATTTGAACGTTCAGAGTTTAGAAATAACTGAAATATCGAAGTTAGAATCGATAAAGACAGAATCGGCATTGTTCGAAAAAGGGAAGTTTTCAGAAAAGGTTGTGCAGTGAGCAGCGATAACATTCTGTGTAGACATCGGAAAAACACCAACAGATCTAGAGACCCATCAATACTTTAAACGGTCGGGAAAATATAGTAAAGGAATCTGTTCTTTTGTATTTAAGTGTAATATAAAAGGTATAGTTTATAGGGTGACATTCGTGAAGGAAGATCATCATTCCGAGATAGCAGTGCTGTAGAAATTTCGTAACGCGAATTTGCCGTATTTCCCTAAATAAAGTCGTTTTCTCCGCAGACAAAGGTTTGATGATGGGCAGGATCAGGTACAGGAAATGTAAAATATCATTTTAGATATAAAATCTGAATAGTTTGTGTACACTTTTTAGTAACTGCTTAAAGCGACGTAAGAAAAGTATTGAATTAAACAGTGACTGGGCTTAGAAAAAGTTATATGTATGAAGCTTTTGACGTCGGGAAACGTCAAGGATTTCGTTTTAGTGCTCCGGGTATGAGTGTGCGTCTCAATTGTATCTAAAAAAGATATATCCATTTGTGATTTTGTCAGGTTTAATGAAAATAATAGTTTTATATATTTTATCAATGTTTGTCAGTAATTATCAATGTTGTCCACGTACTTTACGGACAACCCTAGTATATATATTTATATATTTAAGGATTTAAGCATTTTATTCACGGACATACATAACAGTACATGCAGTATTCTAAAAATGAGACTTTGCGTCCTGTCTCACTTTTCTTTTAAAGGAGATAATAAGTTGTTTTATTTTAAAGATCACTGGAAAGAGAAATCTCTTTCATTAAAAGACACATGTATATCTGTTTAGCTTAGAAAGATATCTCTCTTTTGAAAATCTGTAGAGATGAATGATAACTTAAGAGATATTTCCCTCGTTCAAAGAGATATTTCTTTAGCTTATACGTAAAAATATCTCTTTGGCAAAATAAATATATCTCTTTTATTAAAATATCCTAGGATATAAAGGTATCTCTTTTAGTTGAAGATATATTTCTAAAATCGAAAGAGAAAGAGATATCTCTCTTATTCATTTTTTTTTTAATTTTACGAACAAATAGTAGAAGTGCTTGCCATTAAAGTTACCTGTTATTTTACAATAAACTCTTTTATCATGAATTGTTGCATTGAAGTTATATAAATATGATCAAAAATCCTAAAAATCAAATCCTTGTGGAAAAATCTTATGTAACATCAATTAATCAATGTGATAACCGAGGAGGAACTTAGAAACTATGTCGGCCTTTATTCGTCTTCGAAATATTGAAATTTGAGGACCCAGGATCAGAAAGTCTTGATAAGGGAAGGACATTTTTTTCAATTTTTAGTCATCATATCAACAGACAAATTGCATTGTGATGAAGAGGAAGTACGTTTCTTCCAAAATTGTGATTTTCATACATGTAGCCCATTGTTCAGAGGTCTTGTTGTCCGAGTCGCTCTATTCGTGTTCCATTTTATATTATTCTGTTTTGTCTTCTTGTCATTGCCTATTCCGATCAGCTTTAATCCCGTGTTTCCTACATGTATATAGCAAAAAACAGTCATCAACAGAGGTGAGATATCCATGGTCAGTGAGCTTTTCTTGCACCAACTATTTCGACGATAACAACTTTTACTTCGTTCATTGTCATTCCCTATTCACTATGATACACATGTATGCATCGTTTGTCTCGCTTTTATTAAAGGTTTGTCTTAAACCTTTCTATCATTGGTTTTTGTTTTTATTGTGTTGCATTCCATTCTCCTCTGTATCTCTGCATTCTCTTCTCATGGCCGATTTACCATCATTCGTGTATCGCTATTGCATGTTCTGAATATTAATTATAATCGTAGAAAAAAGAATCTTTCATGGAGTGATGCTTCTCCATATCACCTCACTTAGATTTTACTTATTCACACCATTTATCGTTTTCAATAAAACATTTCTGCAGTCTTTAATGTCAACATCTTACTGTAAATTCATTAAAGAAAATAATGAATAAATTTATGAGTTCAGTGTTTCTGAATTTCTTTGAGGCAGGGTCTGGTTTCTCTCATTTAATTTCTGAAATTTCTTGTCTAATATATCAAGTTGTCTTTGAATTGATTGCAAAGACGTATTTAAGTTTACAACTAAGTTCTTAATGTTATTTAAGGCTGATGCTATGGATTTTACGTTAGTTAATGAGGCTTTAAAGTTAAAGGTAAACCAAATGATTGTAGTATACTGTCTATGGGTGTGACCAAACAGGTCCCTCTCGCAGAAAGTCCTATCGCCATACCAGCTGAGTGTCTTATCTGGGTTAATACAAAACACAAAGGATCCAGAATCTCCCAAGCTGAAAAATTCTCCTTGTGGCATGTTTTGTATTTCTATTTGATAACACATAACAGCACAGTAATTTGTGTTAGGAAAATTCATGGATTCGTTCATGATTCGCACATGCATACTTTCAACACAAAGCTGACCGATTGTAAACCCCGTTGTAGCTCCCAATTTTACAACACTATCTAATATTTCTGTTGTTTTTTCGACAATATTTTCTGTTTCTCCTACACAATATTGTCGAGGAAGAGAAACAATTTTACCGTCAAATACTAGTAAATTTTCTGGGTCAAATCCTGAAGAAAAAAGAACAAAATGAATGATAAAACATTCATTAAAAATAAATGTTAAAGACGATTAACAATATTTCATGATTATTGGACTGCGAATATTGTTACAGCGCAGTTGTTCAAAAGAAGGATAACATTAAAATATTTCTAATCAGGCAGACAATAGATACATGTAGAAAAATTCAACTGAATTAAGTGTGCATTGCGTTAATTCATATTATTATGTTAACTGCTTGTTTGATGATATCACTAATACTATCTTCTGAATGCAAACCCCTCCCCCAAATTATTTACCCACAGAAAGTAGTTGGTCTGTTGGAACTGTGCGAAAGCTAACATCTTCTACATTTTGGTAAAGTTCAACGACAGCTGCGTCGAAATGTAACTTCCCGTCTTGATGAGGAGGTTGGTAAATATATTGAGGAATAAATACAAGCTGGGAACTTTGCAGGAAGAATTTTACCACATACTTGAAATCTGTGCTTGCTCTTCTCAAAAGTTTCTATTTCAACTTTCTCAAAATTTTTAGATATTAAGTCTTCTGCTGTAAATACTACATGGGCACAAGTTATTAAGCCTATCTTATTTCCAGGAAGGTCCACAAATCCACCTATACTGCCACTGCTTCCCCCATTTCTGCGAATATGTCCTCCAATTTCTAGTGACCCTAATAAGCAATGTCATTCCAAAACATCAATGTCATACCTTCCTATTCTTCTCGGAAACTCCATCTCACCATACGGTATATACCCTTTGTGTTTACAAAATAAGGTGATACATTTCTTGCGAACAGTTTTGTGATTTCCGGCTAAATATCCAATAGATTTACATTGGGATGCTGTTATCATGGTAAGATTAGAGTGGCAACTGAATAGATTCCTTGCAGTCTGCTCTGTGATTACCGGTAATGTTTGGCTTGAGTTAGATGTTGCACAAGATTTGTGCCTCCTCAGACCATTGTATGTACTCCTGAAAGATAAGCTTCACTTCATATATTTCTTGTGGAATATCATGATGCTTTTCTATGGTTCCTTTATATAACAGAATGAAAACACATCTTTTTGTAATGTCGATGCAAAGTTATAGACTGATTGCTGACTTCTTAAACCATTGATATTTCTTCAGAAGCCTTCTTTTAATGATCAACAACATCACTTCAGGGACAAAGCATTTATTTTCATTCTTGATTTGAAGAAATAGTTGAAGATTGGAAACCCTGCTAATTATAAACGTATGAAACAACTCGGAAAAAAGAATATAATTCTTGCTGTCAAGGCTGTGTTCAATGATCCGTAAAATTGCCTCCCTGCTTATTGATCCGTCCTGTCTACATCGCAAAGCACATTTTGCATAAATAGTAATGAGAACACACAACGCGCTTGATATGCACATACATTTTAAAGATCTAGAAATTGAAAGTCTCTTATTGCAGGTTTTTATCCATTGAATACCATCTATTTTCTTCAACATGCAATAATAAAGTAATAGTTCGGGTATTGGATCAGGTTTCAAATGTTTATGGTGATTTATCCATTCATCACAGAGACCTGCACAATCAAGATACTCTATATTGTCTAAAATGATTTCAACTTCACTCTTGTAAAGTATGCTTGCCCTGTGTCGCTTTACAAATTCTGCTTCAAATGCTTTAATTGTCTGCTGCACTCTAAATCCCCTTTTTGCCTTCGAACATATACTTTTATTGGAGACAAGGGAAGCGATTCTTTTCTTCTAGCCTTATTCCCTGTAACCAAAATAAAAGAAACAATCATTCAGCAATCATTGATATAGATATAGTTGAAAAACTAGAAAATCGACAAATTAAGTGTCGCTCTGACCTACAAAGTGCCCACTTTTAGATTAAATAAGAGTGTTTTTCTTTATAGAATTTGAAATCCTCAGATATGTTGTATTGGTAAACAATGAATAATGATATTCTTACATTAAACTATTTTCACTCATTTTGAGGAAAAAAGAGGATTCGTTTAAAGGTATGTTAATTTTGTCTTAATTTTATGGTGCATAAAATGACTTTGTCAGCAAATGTAATGTTCATAATCTCGAATGCTGACCTTCGTTTTTTCAAGGAAAATGGAGCTATCTAAAAAGTATTGAGCTAAAAAAGTAATTAAATCAATACACATCGTAAATAAAGAATTACGGACCTCTAAAACATCAAATGTTGTATCAAAGGTCATGGGGAATTAATTATTTCCTCTTAACTGGTCGTATCAGCCGTGATGTATTTCTTTGATTTGGAGACGGGAAAAACCGTAGATAATTAAATTAAATTATAGTAAATAACAGTTGTAAAATAAGTATGGAAAATGTTAATCTAAATTTAACTTTTAAGAATTCTGACCTTCAAAGACTCTCTCGGAGCTAGTATTCCTTCCATCAGACAGATCTGATGTTTTGCCATCTCTCTCCATAATTCAAAGCTATAAAATCGAAAAGAAAACAATAACAGCAGATCTGACAAATTTACTTTTTTGCAAAGACTAAGGGTATTGCAATGCTTAAAATTTCCTTTATATTTCATACACTGTACTGATACAAAAATTTATAGTAATGTTTCAAAAGTGAGTTTATATATTCATTATGCAAAAGAAACATCATGTTAACAACAAAACGTCTTACCACAGATATGACGCCGGTAACTCGATATGTTTCATTAAGTCAACATCATGTTTCATAATCATGAGGGAATAAGGGAAATCTTTTGATTTGTATTACATGTACGTAGACGGTGAAGTGGTTGAAAAGGAAGTGATTTATTTTTTTAAAGATAGTTTACAATTTGATGATACATGTATGTAGAGTGTATTCATTAAGGTTTTATCTTGTCAGGAAATTCATTCACCGACAATTGTTCTTAGGTACAATGTAGCATCTGGATAAGGTTTAGAGGGATGAAAAGACACTTACACAACAATTTTTATTGCAAATAAACAGTACTACATACAACAGATGCAAATCGAAGAGTATCGAAAAATTTTAAGGTAAAAATCCGTAGGTTTCCCTTTAAAACGTCTTTTCAGAAGGATCATCTCATTAGTCCGCGACGGAAAAGCAGAAGCTTTAACAATATGCGCCACGAGGGTGACTTCTACTATTTGTATACTTATATATCTAAATTCGGGGATGTGTGCATGAATCATAAGTTCATCGGAAATGCTGGCTTTACTATTGAACTACACATCTTTAAAATTGAATTTGCCATTAGTTATTTTTGTTTATAAAACTACAGGCAAGTTTTTCAATAAAACAATATTTTTATATCATCAGAATAGTTACATTTTAAACAGTTTTAGGGGATGTCTAATTTCTTTAACAATATCATAATAGCATGAGTATGGTACAATATTTAAAACACAGTTCCAAATTTTGATTTGTACCCGTCACAGGATAATAGTACACCATTCAATCGACGTAATGGCTACCGAATGACCACTGAATGGTCACTGAAAGATTACTGAAACGATTCTTTCTTGTGACTTTTCCGTACGCGTGATCTTTGCAATTATTCCATCCACTGAATGGCAAATACATGTTAGTTGCCTTTCATATATCCTTCAGTTGCATTTTTATTTAATAATCGGCTGATTTGTATATGTTTAAACACCTTTTTTCTTTTTATAATAGGAATTAAAATCAAAAATGAAAAAAAAAATAAAGTAAATCAAAGTAAGCTCAAAGCAGGAATCGAACCATAGCCGCCAACTTGAGAGTTCAGAATCTTTACCGTTACGCTACGCTTGTCACAAATGATTGGAATAGATCGAGTAGAAATCAGAATGGAATACCCAGTTAGCCTCTTGTGTGGAGGAGGTGCGATGTGTATATATCTTGTATATTCTATAAAAGTTGCGAGGAATCAAGGAACATATTGATTAATTACCTAAAAGACACCTCGGTCACATATTGAACATTTCCATGAAACATATAACAACAAAGAAAAAAAACCCAGACACAATTGAAATTTATTTACATATCTATAAAGCATTCATTTTTTGTCAATAAATAGCATGATTCTAGCCTCTTTATGTCTTTTTTCAATGCTGTGCGTGTCTTGAATTCTTGTAAAGGAAATCAATTTGCTTGAAACATATCTTTAAACTTGTTTTTTGAATTTGTACATATTTACACAGAGGCAATGTCCATTGAATCAATCCTGGCTGCTCTTTGGAATCCGGCAGGTTTAAACCGGTACAGATGCACATATTTAGGTACCTTCTTCCTCGCTATCAGCATCATGATAATAAATAATAGAGATAAACAGATGATTATCCCGATAAGTAAGATTTTGTGTTTCATATCTAATAACGTCCATATGGAAGGTTTACTTTTGGTGTCTGGAGAAGAAAGCAAAATGTAAAATAATAGGAATTTGTAAAATATTGAAGAATGCATAATTGAAAATAACGTATATGTAGTTCTCAAATGTTAAATTCCTTTTTCTTTTATTTGTTATATATTTTTTTCTTATTTATTTGTTTTAGAAAAACCTAACTAATTTATGTTAAAGATGAAACATATCTTAAATGAGATTTCTTATTTATTTTTTAATAAAATTAATAAAAATACCTCTTTGAAAACTATCCATCGAGTCAGAAAAAATATAAGCAATTTGACTTTTATTTTGTGGTAAATCAGTGTCGTTGAACATAAACAGAGTGCTCAGCAAGATAGTTGGTTGCGCAGTCGTTTCTATAAAAACAAAGTACATGTATTTAGTTAGGTTAACATTTGCGACAATGTTTTAAATGTATGCTATCAAATACAGAAAGAAAATTTAAATCATATTTAAATGAAATTGCATTTTTAAAGAGATTTATTAGTAACCTGCACAAAAATCTCAGTTAATATGATAGCTGGTCAGAATTTTTTAAAGACCTTTAATCATCTATTTTGTATGAAGCTTATTTGATTTGCATCTATTAATATCTTTTTAAAACAGTCAAAATCTGTTACCTTTGCATCCTGACACATGGCTACATTCTGCCTCAATGCATAGACATTGTTCCTGACAATCCGCTCCAAAACTTGGATATCGACACTCTAACTCACACTTTCTACCAATATAACCATCCAAACAACCTAATAGGAGGAAGAATAACCTATGTTTTAATTGGCATACTACATGTGTATGAAAATGTTGCAGAGATTAAGAATTACTAGTGTTTATTTGATACAACTGTAAATAATGCTTTCCACATATTTAGCTAACGCAACAATTATAGAGAGTAAAAATAGTAAAGTCTTTGTAACTAGGTCATTTATGTACTGTATTATAAATCAAGGTTAAGTAGCTCAGTTATTAATTCTGGAAGTTTCATAAATAGATTAAATTGACTTTAAAAAAAAAAAAAAACTGTGGGTAACATGAACACAAATGGCGAAACATTAAAAATTCACAGGTTACAGGAAAACTACAAAGACGTGCAGAATAAGTTAGGTTTTGATTAAATAATTGATAGTCAATTTAAACGAGAAAAGGCGTTCAATTACCTTCCACATTTTGAGCCCAGGGCAACTGCAATGTCCAAAAAGCAACAATAGCATGTAAAAAATTTAAATTCAACATTTACATCCTATTATGATCTTTTTCATGATCATATAAATATTTGTATTTAATGATTTTTACAACGACCATGTTGGTACTTTTTTTTGTACATTTTGATAGAAAAACATCGGAACGGAACAGGGAAATTTACAAATCGGAAATTATTACAGCGTATTCTATCCTGATATTGTTTCAGTCGAATTAAGATATTTTTGTACTTTGTTTTCAATGAAAAAAAGGTTTTCGTGCTTAACCTATGAAATGTTAAATTATAATGAAATCAGTTTTTAAAATACATGCATTATCATTCAAACGCAAAAAACAACCAGTCAAGCCAAATTCATTATTTAATGGATAGACCTAATTGTTTTAATTACTTTCTAAAAAGTACACTTCATTGTTTAATGATTTTTCAATATTTAAAAACATAAAATCGTTAACCAGTAATTATAAATTTGATAGCATTTGATTTGATTTAATATCCCTTCAACAAAATTGAATATGTATCACCATATTTTACCAGACTAGCTATATCCGGAAAAATCGCCAAAGCAGGTCCTAGTAAATATTCCTTCAAAAGGCTCTTTGTACTCCTCTTGAAAATACGACTTTTGTTCCACAACATATTCGACAAGAGTACATTTGTATGTGAATTGGATGCTTAAAAACTCAATAAACTTGCAGAATATTTCAATCGATATTTTATCCAAATCAAAATAACAATGTGTTCTACTTTTTTACACTTTGTACAACCATTATTATGGGAAAATTTGAAATTACATACAACTGCCTTTCTATAATATGGTATTCATGAATTAATGGACCCTATCGTGCACATTTAGAGATTTACTTTGTTTATAGTATTCTGTTTCAATGCACAAGTACCCCAAGGTTGATGTTAGAATTTTATCATTTACAACACGAGGGTTGCACATAAAAATCCGTAGAAAACTTTTGGTGTTGATATCAGGACTGACAAGCCTTTCACTCTGTACAGTGTTATCGAGATGGATTAAGAAATCCACGAACATAAAACATATGTATATTTAAAAAAGTGTTTTACAATATCGCACTTGATCAGATAGTGGGTAGAATAAAATACGACCGTTGATAAAAACTTTTGGTTAATAGTAGTGAGTTATCGTTCGTGTTGCGGTGGCGCTACGTGTCCCGGTCCTTGATAAACTTCCGCCTCGTGATAAACACATTGTAAATAAACTGGGATGTTAGGTTTACGATTGTTTTAAATACAAAGAATAATGCCTAGTAATTGTTGTTGTGTGCCTGGATGTCACGAAAGAGGTGGACATCAGTTCCCTACGGAAAAGTTAAGAAGAAACAAGTGGATTGTTGCGATTAAACGCTTGGACGAGCGCACAAACAAGCTATGGGAGCCTTCGAAGTCAGCTGTTGTTTGTAAACGACATTTTACTTCAGATGACTACGTGTCGGAGACTATTCAGGGTATATTATAACGAACATTAAATTATTATATACTCAGTTTTAGAATTATATTGTAAATAACAGAATTCAGTCAAATTCTGAAATTTATGTTGTCACTGTTGTGTATAATTATTTATATAGTACGTATATGTAGATTTAAATAGGTTTCCGATATGAGATAATTTTTTTTGTTTTGTGGAAAGGAAAGATATAACATCTTAATACACTTCACGTAATTTTTTTAGTATCAAATACCTTATCATCAAAATATGTGTGTGTGTGGGGGGGGGCACTGCATTGATTTGAGCACAAACTTAAAACAAAAGTCTATGGTTTGAGTATTTTGTACAATTATTAAATGTTGTTGCACAGTGTAATATGTTTTACTGTTTATATATAGGACAGAAACCTCTATCTGGAAGACTGAAGAATACTGCTGTGCCAAGCATTTTCTTTTGGACAAAGGAGACAGAAAGTTCATTTGCCCGAGCATCCAGGGCAGAAGGCAGGGATAGCAGAAAAAGAAAGTTTGATGAATTCTGTCATGAAGAATTAGAGTGCAGTTTCACTGAATTAGACTGTATGGAAGAAACTGTGGTAGTTGATGACTCAAAAGTGTGTGACGAGGAGGAAAAATTAAACTCTGTTGAATTAAGAGACACCTGTACACAAACACAGTCACAGCCAATATTTTCAGTTGAACAGTTTGAGAAGGATAATTCAGCCATACATTTTTATACTGGCCTTGAAACTTATGCCAAGTTTTTGTTTACACTGCAGTCACTTGGCCCTGCTGCTTATTGTTTAAGATATGTATTTTTTCAAGTTCAAGGGGTATCTATTCCCAATCAGTATTTTATGACACTTATGAAACTACGGAGGTATACTACCAATTTTGAACTTTCAAGATTTTTCAATGTTTCAGAAAGTACTGTTAAAAATATTGTACTTACCTGGATTTTATTTATGTCAAAACAGTGGCGAGAGATTTCAATTTGGCCATCTCAATCTCTTGTTCGTTATTTTGCACCATCAGATTTTAAGTCAAAATTTCCAACTACCAGAGCCATTTTAGATGCAACTGAATTTCCAATTAAAAAACCAAGTACACCTAGGGCACAGCAAGCCACATTTTCAACATATAAAAACAGAAATACAATGAAAGCTTTAATAGGGTGTACACCAGGAGGCCTTGTGAACTTTGTTAGCCCAGCATATTGTGGGTCGACAAGTGACAGGCAAATAGTTGAGAGAAGTTGTCTTAAAAATCTTTGTGATCAAGGTGACAGTTTAATGGCTGATAAAGGTTTTAATGTCCAAGATATTTTTGCTTCTAAGGATGTTACTATAAACATTCCTACATTTTTTAGAAATAGGAACAGAATGTCAGGAAGAATTGTTCTTAATGATAGAAAGGTGTCAAGTAAAAGAGTTCATATAGAAAGAATTATTGGACTTGGTAAAACTTATAAAATTTTAACACATCCTTTAACAAGTACTGAAGCATGCATGTCATCAGATATAGTATTTGTCTGTTTTATGTTGTGCAATTTTCGCACTGGTATTGTATCATCAAATGCATAGAAAAAAAAACATTTTTCAAAATTTCTTTAGCTTTCATATTTCAAATTTGAATTATAGGCAGAAATATTGATGCTAAATAAGATAAGAAATGTAAACAACACTACACGTACTGTATTTGTTTAGAAGATTTCTATGTATATTTTATTGCACACATTCACAAAGATTCACTGTAAGGCTTGAAGAAATATTTCTCAAGAATTGCTTGTTTGAAGTAGTCTTTGTAAAAGTTGTTTAGCTTATTAATCATGTCAGCTATGAATGCATCATCACGTTTGATTTCAATGTATATGATGTCATTTACTTTTAAATTGTTTGCTAAACATACAGTAAAAATACATGTGTTTGCACCGGTACACAGTAGTTGTCCTTGTATCTGATAAAAGTAGTCATGGTTGGGATCAAGACTATATTTTCCTTCGTTGGTCTGCTTTAAATATGGCACCGTCAGAGTTGAAATCTTTTTATTTCTACTGACATATGGACATTTGACTTCTACAAGCTCCTGTTGATTGATTATTCCGTCAGGTGATGCAGCAAGAAAGGGGTACTCCTTACAAACGACAAGACCACTTGATTGAACATTTTGGAGCTTATCCTGTTCAAATCTCTTGATCGCAACAGATTCATGCCTGCGACCATGCTCAATTGAATTGCTTTTAATGTTTTTGATAACTGTTAGTGACGTGGCAAGTTTCATTTTGTCAGTTCTATCAGTACACTTACATATCCTACCAAATATCGAAGATGTTAAACGTTTTGCTCTCTCCTCCTTCCATGTTTTGTTTAGACTCTGCCCTTTTGTTGCTGACTTGGAGATATGATATCTTTGTAATTTGTAATTTTTCCAAAAAGTTGTCTTCAGGAGATAATGTAAGATAATCATGGTCATTTGCTACTGCAATCATATTTGCTGGTGTAAATGTCTGATAGATGGGCATCTTAGAAATACCTGAGAAATTCAAACATACATTTCTAAAGTAGTGAGGATAAGATGGATTATTTCTGAATTCTTCAGGTCGTGGGTCAACAGCAATATTTGTTAATTCATCAGCACCAGGTAAATTCAGGTCATCAGATTTAATGGGACTGCCTTTGAATCTTTTAGACTTGTGGAATGTTTGCAAACGTTGTGTACATGTTTCCTCTGTCTTGATAAATTTATTCTTTGCAAACATAACAGCACCATACATAACTGCAGCTACATGTTTACAATGTGTATCAGGCCCCATACCTGCTGCACATTCGCACTGGGCCTCCAGAACAGACCCTTCATTGCTCAATTTAATATCTATTGTGTAACAAACACCCTTTCTCATCTCTGCACGACAGTTTCCTTTAATAAATGTACAGGCTGTATTGATGGATACACGGTAGTATGTCAGGAAATTGTCGTCATAAAGGTGAATAAAATGATTTTCAAATTTCTTCTCAAACCTCCCAAAATAACTATGAACGGTATCCATGGACAAACCAGAAAAGGAAGTGTCAGAATTTACGTCAGCGTACGTATCGTAACTTGGAAGTTGCATACAAAATTCTGGGTCAGTGTAATCAACTTTTCCGAAGTTGAAGTTTCTGTCATATGCTTCCAGTCTATGGAAAATTAAAAGAAAAAGAAACTGTTTTATGTTTATTTACAATTTACGATTATTTAATTAATCGCCATATTGATATATTATATTTTAAGACGAAGAGTTCAGATTGTCGGCATGCAGCACGAGGTATTATCATGCGGTTTTCAGTATCGAACTACCTGTCGACCAGTTCTTGTTTTCGTCCCGTTATCCTGGCATTTCTTTTTCTTAGCTCATTTTTAAGATCTATAATTGTCATGGAGCCGTATTTTGAGTCGCTCATGATTAATATTTCGCGTGTATATAGAGACGGTATATATATTACGTTTCTTGTTAATCGCTGCGTTGTGCATCCAATGTAAACAAGAGATGTGATGGACCGGGAACAGTATCGCCATCTAGCGGGAAGCAGGGGAACGCAACTCACTACTATTTACCATTGAATAACTTCTTTAAAAAATATCTGAGGTTTCCTTGTTGAAACTTTTAAAAATGGTCCTGTCTGATCTTAATGTGCATCTTCATTCATACTGTCCATGGACGAATCACATGAATTAGGCGGTCACGTGATATGTTCCGTAGCGTTCTGTCAAAGAAGCTGAAAGATTTTTCCCACACTTATATTTCTTACCATGCAAGTTTTTTTTCTTTTCATAAAAACAGTCCATTTCTCAGAAATGTCCAAATCTCATCAAGAGTATGGTTGTATAAGGATATCATTCTCCAGAATGAACATGGGGACCATCACAACCCGCGTTTTCTGTATTTGGAGAGTCGTTTATCCACTGTGAAAAAAGTATTGGCGCCTTCTTTTTATCATATATAATATGTTTAAAGTCTAATGTAACGATATTAAAGTCTAATGTAACGTTTAAATATGATGAACATGTTATCATCACAGTTTATAAAGTTTTAACAAATATAATATGATTTATAAAAATATATATATACTTCTACATCAGATAAGTGCAAAAATTTCTTATAGTAAATTCTAAATACTGTAAAACTCAACAAGGATACTTTGGAGGATTTTGAATATAAAGATTCTGCTATTTTTTCATATTTTTAGGTCACAGTTTACATTACTTTTCATATTGGCCCGCGTATCTTTGTATTCTCAGAGACAAATTCTTTCAACAATTTGTTAGAATTCTCGTTGGTACTTACTTTGTCTGTTATAAACATACCTGTTTTCGTATGCAAAGCTTTATTATAAAAACATGTACATAAAAATTCTATTGCTATTGTCATTAAGATACAGTGACAGTGTTTTTTTTTAAATCAATTCCATGTATTCTTAAAGAAAAGAAATATTCCACAATTTTTTATCATATTTGGTTCTTTACCTAGATAGTGACATAAATTCTAAACTAACAACATATTTTTTGTACAGACATTTATGTTTTTGACTTCTTTATCGTCAATTTCCTTCATTTATGTAGCAGTACACCTTTTTCTCATGTGTATGGAGTTTATGTCTCTAATTGATTTTATACATTCTACGTACAAGTCCAGGTTCTACATAGCAACAGTTGTTTATACGAAGCAAGCTATATATATATATATATATATATATATATATATATATATATATATATATATATATATATATATATATATATATATATATATATATATATATATATATATATATATATATATATATATATATACTGTTGTAATTCAAAAAATGTAAATGTCACATGCTTCTAAATAATTTAAAACTGAAAATGTACCTTAGTTGCACTAATCTTTGTTTAAAATCAATAATGAATCTTTTTTTTTAATCGTAAAAGAACAACATTTTTAGAAGGTCATCACATACAAGTATATTTACATATATGAATTTTATGAAAAGTGACGATTAAGACTTTTTTTTCTGAAAAGTTATCTAGTGGTTAAACTAAAGTAATTAATTTTAAACGCAAATTTCGTAAGAAAAAAGTATTCAAAAGCTTACAGCTTGAAAGAAAGCAAATTTGCCATTCTTGTGGGATTGAATGGTACAAAGAAGTGCTAAGCTGTTAATGATTTATAAAAGTTTAACAACTTTGGTAGCTATCCGAGTCCATGAACCTCCTCTTATATATATATATATATATATATATATATATATTTTGGGATGGATATCTTCTTCATCCAAGATCATATAAATTCCTTATGATTTAAACATCGACAGAACTGATTTTGGTTTACTTTAACTATTGTTTTTTTGTTTCTTTTCAACGCTTGTATACTTTCATCACTTACGGAAAAGCAGGTTGGCTTATAAACTGAATGTTTCATTTAAATTACGTGTTTCCATTTCCTGTACTCTTGTCCATTTAAAGTACTGAACACGTGCACGGTTACTAACAGTTATCTTAATGTAAACAACAATGATGACAATGGAAACAAAGCCAAAGAAGACTATACAAACGAGCATCGCCTTGTGTTTCACATCCATACCAGTCCACATTGATTTGTATTTTGTACTGTCTGCAAAAAGGAATGATATGAATCAAAATAAACATTACAGTATCTTTGAACAATTGAGCTTTATAGACTATAAGGAAGTGTCATTATATAATGTTTGCCTAATATCAATCTACAATCCCAAAAACAAAAAAAAAAACATATAGATGATCTATTTTCCAGTCACTTCTGTACATTTGCTCGGACACAAAAATAGTTACATGTAACTTATTGATAAATTTATCGTTCATAGACTATTAGTGTTTGGAAAATATGATATTCTTTGCTTAACCTCTTGTGCTAATATTCGTTGACATATAGAGAATATTCATTTTGGTTTCGTTCTGCAACAATCCTGAATCGTTCACCGATAATGTTGTTATCCGTTCAACTTCATCGGTAGCATCTGGAAAAGAGCAACATAGCAGCTACTTAAGATTTAACAATAAAAAATGGAAATCAGTAACAAAGTAAAGATTAAGTTACATACTAACAGTTATATAATAGTAAAAAAAGTAACACCTAATAACAGTCACATGTTATCACTTTCATGACAGTAAGAAATAAACAGTTACATAATAAGAATAATTAAACTGTATTGTTACAAAATAATTTAATAAAAGAGACAAGGTAACAGTTACATAAAAGCAATGAAGGAATGCCTTCAAAGCAGTAACAAAAAAAATAGTTGCATAAAAGAACCAGAAGTCTCTGTCGAGACTGAAGCTTTACTGGTTTTTACTTATAGCAAAAGAAGAGTAGCAGTTAGTTTTTGAAACTTTACAACAGCAATAAATAGAATAATCATTATGATTCTTGATTAAGTCTCTTTATGTTCTGTATGTTTATGTAGTCTACTTGCTTGCCACATTATATAATAATCATTATATATTATAATTAGACTAAAACTGAATTTGGGATAGCATTTTGATAGTACTCGTATTTTACAGAAATTTCTATCTTTAGTAACCAAGGCAATAATGTTCATCCAAATCAAGAAAATGATAAATAGAATTGTGTATCTTAGTGTAGTCTACTTCTGAGTAAAATTATAATGAAATTAGAACAAAACTGTAGGAGGAGTAGCATTTTGAAACAATTTCACAGAAATTTTTATTTTTAGTTACCACGGCAACACTGTTCATCGATATAAAAAAAATGATATACAATTTATGTATCTTAGTGTAGTGTATTTGTGTGCCAAGATATATTGAAACCTGACCAAAACTGTAGGAGGAGTAGTATTTTGAAACAATTTCACAGAAATTCTTATTTTTAGTAACGACGGCAACACCGTTCATTGAAATCAAAAACCGATACATAGAATAATGTATCTCAGTGTAGTGTACTTGGGCGCCGAGATATATTGAAATCTGATCAAAATTGTAGGAGGAGTAGTATTTTGAAACAATTTCACAGAAATTCTTATTTATAGTAACAACGGCAACACTGTTCATTGAAATCAAAAAACCGATGGACTATTCTATGTATCTTAGTGTAGTGTACTTGGGCGCCAAGATATATTGAAATCTGATCAAAACTGTAGGAGGAGTAGCATTTTGAAACAATTTAACAGAAATTTTTATTTTAGTTTCACGGCAACACCGTTCATCGAAATCTAAATCCGATTCACAAAATTATGTATCTTATTGTAGTCTACTTGTGTGACAAATTATATTGAAATCAAACCAAAACTGTAGGAGGAGTAGCATTTTGAAAAAAAAAATGTTTACATACAGACAGACAGCTAGACAAATAGACGGACAGACAGACGGACGGACGGACGTATGAAGGAAGCATTACTTTCGCATAAGCTCTTTTGGTCTCTGACCAGTAGCGCTAAAAATAAACAGTCACATAACATTTTTAATTATCACTTACATAACAGTTACATATAAATGGTAATATAAATATATTGAAGAAAAAGTCACGTGCGTGCAACACCAAAAAGATCAATTTAGTTTACCTGCAGTTCTTTACAGTGATGGAAATTGACCACGATTATTTAAATTTAATGTTGAATACCTTTTCATGTAAATACTTCTAATTGTGCTCACGTTTTGCCCCGTAATCGAAAATTCGGGGGCATATAGTTTGTCCGTCCGACTCTATGTCCAGTTGCCTCTCTGTCTGTCTGTCTGTCAGTTTGATTGCTTGTCCAAAAATTTTTACTTTGCCCTTAACCTCTGATTTAGTGGAGCTAAATTTGTATTTCTTATGACAAGAATTTTCTTTTGGTACCACCAAATTTGACCTTTTGACCTTGAAGTTTAACCTCAATTTGCAAAAAATCCAAACTTTATTTTGGCCATGACTTTTGTATGGTAGATACATGTACTAGGAGTTTAATACCTCACATATGTATTTCTTTCGACAAGATCTTTTATTGGAGACAAAAAACTTTGACCTTTTGACTTTGACCTTGGAGATTTCAAAACTTACGGAAAACTTTAACCTTGACAATAACTTTTTCACAGTAAGAGCTAGGGCTTTCATACTTCACATATGTAATTTATGTGAGAAGACCTTTCTTTTGATATCAAGAACTTTAAATCTTACCTTGTAGTTTGACCCATTTTTTTTAAAATACAAAAATCCAAAATTTTAACTTTGACCATAACTTTTAGACAGTAGATACACTGTACTAGGAATTTCATATTTCAAATAACAATTCCTTGTGTCTAGACCTTTCATTTACTTTTGAGATTTCCATACTTACGAAAAAAACTTTAACCTTGGCCATAACTTTTGAAGGATAAGGGCTAGGGCTTTCATATTTCAAATATGTAATCCTTGTGAGAATACTATCAAGAACTTTGACATTGATCTTCTTTTAAAAATCAAACATTGACATAACTTTTGAAAAGTTAGGGCTTGGGAATTCATACTTCACATGTTAATTCCTTGTGACAAGACCTTTCATTTGATATCAAGAAAGCTGACCCTTTGACCTTGACCTTGGAGTTCGGCCTACTATTGAAATATTAAACCTTGGCCATAACTTTTGAACGGTAAGGGCCATGGCTTTCATATTTTAAATATGAAATCCTTGTGACAAGACCTTTCTTTAAAAAACCAATAACCTAGGACCTTTGACCTTGATCCTGGAGTTTGATGTACCCTTCAAAAACGTATCCTTGGTCATAACTTTTGAACAGGTAGTGCTAGTTGCTTTCATATTTCACAAATATATTTCTTTTGACAAGACCTTACATTAAGTACTAACAAAATTGAATTTGCATTTAAGAAGAGTATAATCTCCACTATATTGCCATACGGGGGCATCAGTGTTTCACAAAAACTTCTTGTTTTTAAAGTAATTACAGTTCAAAAAACAAAGTCCTGTAAAAATAAATAGGAAATTAAAAAAAAAAAAACGAATACTTTACGTTTCATTGCGCATCCTGACACATGATGACAAAAGTTTTTATCGCAATTGCATTCCTTTTGACAATCTGCTCCATAATTTGGATATCGACAAGGTAACACACAGTCTGTTCCAAAGTATCCGTCGTTTTTGCACACTGCAAATATCTGAACTTTAAACTTTCAATTTATTATTTTGATTGAATTTTTCAATTATTGGAATAAGGAAATTCTCTATGGGGAACTTACATGTATTTGCGAAAAACTTTCCTGGTTATTTTAAATTAGCTGTTAAAAATTGTTATCATGATGTTTTTGTAAATCAATATTTATTGATAAAATATTTATTACAGAGATATTTATGCTAATGTATTAAGATGTCACAAGTATAACTTCACATCTTTATCATTCAGTGGAGATAATTCCTTTGTAACGACATATTAAAATGTATAAAAACGAGAACATTTCTTTCTTTAAGTACCGGTAGTAAAAATGATACTGTAAAAATGTTTATTAAGGCATGGGGAAAATTACACTACTTAGCGGTAAGCTAAGAATCGCGTAAAATACCCCCGCGCACATGGTCACAAAATACCAAACTTCTGGAATAATTCTTGATTATTTCTTATACTGTTAGACCGGGTGAACCAGTCGTATATTAATCGTGGTACTTGAATGTACGTGAGCAGATAGATATATCACAAACAGTGATGAAAACGTAGCTGTTCTTTTTTTTATTGTGCGATGTAAAATGCATATTCATATTAAATGATTTAAAGCAACGTCACTCAAGGAAAGCTTCGAAACATCGATACTCATTTTCATTTCATTTGTATATTCGTGTATGTTTTTCTGAATTTCAAATAATAGTCCAAAACTTCACATAAACTCACAGTCACTACAAACATACCTATTAAATTAATTGTCAACACTCGACACGCAGGTACAGGTAAGTAGATCTCAACTTGAAGTTTGAGCTTGCGTAAATAATTACAATAAAGCGTACACTTCACCGCATTTAGATATTTAAATTTTACTGTTACTGTATCTTTGCAAGTGACTTTAAATTTTAAAACCGTTAAAACAAATTTGACCTACAGACTGTATTTTGTTTTACTAATATCAAGTCCCGTTTACGGAAATAATTATAGAATAGTACATGTATATAGGTTAATAAATCTGTATTTATAATGAAGAAAAACAAAAAAAAAATTATATTTTCAAAAACAATATACATATTCGTCCTGAAAAAAAATGACACTTGAAAATTCAATTAACAGAGATTATAAGAAAGGTTTTTGATGCAAATTAACTTACAATTTGGAATTGACATGCATATCAGATGTAGATATGCAAAATAAAGAACCAATATCACTGTTCTTCCAGGCAAAGGCATCACCAGTTGCCTTTCTTTTGTTTCTAAGTGGTTAAAAAGGTCTTAGATGGAGCTGAAATTTAAACACCTAATCCCTTTGAAGATGTAATGATTGGAGTGGAATAAAATCATTTGATTGCGCATGTTTTATTATTTATTTTTAAAATGCTATGAGGAAGTATATTCTATATTAGTGTTTTATTGTTTCCTTATTAACTCATTCAAGATATTTATATGTTAATAAAATAACAATAATTTAGAATCATTAACAACAATGCTTAAGATATGCCTCTTTATGGGAAAGATATTTGCAAAAATAGGTCAAGTTTGGAAAGATATGTATCTTATTATATTTTTATTATTTATGTTTCCTCATTCTGCATCACAGGTCTGTCTTTACTGATCAAATAAAATCAAAATCATCGATGAGATGAAATATGTCATTTATTTAGAATAATGAAAATAAGAAAAAATATATACATAGCATGACAAGGGATCAGAACATAAGGTTAACACACAATACATATCAATATGCTGTTCCCTTAAATACAGATAAACAATATTTGAAGTGTGAAAAAAAGTGTGTATACAGCAAAAAAAGGCATCATTTTTAGCGTGACAGTCAAAGAATGACTCTGCTTAATGCAATGGACAGCTTTATCAAAGTTATTAGGGATGTCAAAATTGTCAATAATTGATATTCGAATATTCGACAGTAGTATTCGAATATATTCGAATATTCGATAAAATAAATAGATCCTGCATTATAATATGTATATATCTTCACTCTTTTGTCAAGCAATATATACGTTTTATGTCATTATTTTGGAATAAAATTTCATGTAGAGTTTTGTAAATGCACTTTAATTATATCCTTAAATTTATATTTTACAGAATATATGAAGACTTTATATCCAAAATGTAATAAAAAAAATTTTCCCCAACAAATTCAAAAGATTCTTTTAATAAGTTCCAGATTAATTATTAATCATCTTACCAAAGTGTACACTGATAACCCTACAGATTTATACCACACAGAACAATTATCTAATGGAGAAACATTAAAAGCAATTACTTTTAGCTAATTAATTTCCTGATAATGATTTTAAATGATGTATACATAAACAAAAATGTGTCCTTTCAACAAAACAAACTAATTCTAAGTACTGGACACTGTTATATCTCTAATTAAATGATCAAATAAATAATTTATATCATTTTAATAGACACTTTCTTCACACCTTTAAGGTAATCCAAGAAGAGTGTCTTTTAATTTTGTTTTAAATAAATCGTATTATTGGTCAAAGATGAGAATTTGATTCAATTTCTGATAAAGTTTCAGTTTTTGCCACATTTTTTTTTTCTTTTTGATGCTTGTATACTTAAAATCCGAATATTCGAATCATGAATTTATATTCGAATATCAACTCATCGAATGAATATTCGAATATTCGAATATTCGTTGACATCCCTAAAAGTTATGCATAAAATTATAGTACAATGCACATTTCCAGACCAGTCGTTTTTAACCAATCAATATTCCTTTTGTTCAATGAGATTTCAAAGTATTGTTACTCTATTTTTTTTACAATTTAGGGATGAGAAAATATGTTTGTTCTAAATTCACTATATGTGTAGAGACCTTGGCATCAGATTTCACTTCTGATGTCTCCATATATTTCAATTTATTTCATGTTTCTATCAATGTAACATATACTATCGTTGTTCATGGGCGATGTCAATTGTCGTTATACTACTTTCAAGTAATTTAAAATAATCTCAATATCATGTGTACAAATATTTGTTTTGTTTGTTTCTTCGTATTAGGATCAACAATGTTTTGTAACCACTCTTAACGTCAATGTAACGTCAAAAACAGAACTTCAAGAATTTCTGAAAAAAAAAATACCATCACTACACACAGTACATTCCAATAACAACTTATTCAAACACTTTTTTCCCGTTTTTTCTCCATTTTACAAGAAAAAGTGAAATTAATACAAACATTATCATGATTATTTTGTGTTTAATTCATAAATTACTTAATTTTAAGCTGCGCCACGATCCGAATTTGCAGTTTTTAATTCTGGATAGGTTTGAAATCAACAATGATACTTTACAAAAAAAAAAATCATTTGAATTTATTGTTTAATAATTTCATTCTAATTTAGATAAAATATGACGTTCAATAAAAAAAAAGATATGACAGAAGCCCACAAAACTTCCCAAATCAGCCTTGAAACTCAGATTATAAAAATATATCTGATTTTAATATGATAATATAGACTTGTTAATGCTCTATTTGTTTAATCTATCTGATCGTGATACTTTAGGTTTTATTTTGAGAACTTTGCCTCATTGTAAAACCATAGAAAACTGTTTTCTTAAACTGTATAAAAACATCTAGAAATACAAGATACTGAAATATTCATCGGCATCCTATTTTGCAAAGACTTCTTTCAGATCACATAGAGTGCACGATTTGGAGAAACAAATTTAGATATATGTAACATGACATGAAATGTTTTATTATTGTTATCTAAAGAAGATTTTTTATCTTTCTCAATGCGTTAACAAGAGACTGATGATCCAAACTTCTAAACATATGAATGCTACATCATCCGCTCAACGAAATGTTAAAATTCTGATACTTCTTGAATACATTGTAATGATTTGAATATATTTCATTAACAAATCAGATTTAAAAAATCCAATAACTTGCCAACCACATTATAGAATCTTCAAGGCTCCTTATACAGAAGATGTGTCAACAGAATCATTTCTAATAGTTCTTCGGTTTCTGACAGGTTGATACCTGCCCAGAAATACATCCATACATTTTATGATCTTTTTCATTCCTATACACCCTGCCAAAATAATAATAACTAATAACACAGTAAGAATAATTATGCTGATCAGCATTGACTTGTGCTTTGTATCAAGTGGCGTCCAAGTTGAAGGTTTGTTGTTGGTATCTAGAAGAATGTGAAAACGTTTTGTTATATCATATAAAACACCATGATGCATGTTATATGATTAGAAATTGTAATGAATTCGTTTATATAACGTGGTTATTATAAAACATTATTATTAAACATTTTTGTATTTCATATATGTAATGAAACAATATTGCTTATTTTTGAGATAAAAGTTCCATATCAATGCAAACGATATGAACCGAATTCATGAAGGATTTCTACGGATCCTGCATGTTCTTTTTTTTTATTTGAAGATCATTTAATACAAAATTTCAATAATTTTCAGTCATTTGAAAGATGAAAAAAGTGATATCAATTACCTTCTTGAAATACATCCACCCAATCATAAAATATATAACGTATTTTTGTTTCATTCTGCAGCAAATATGAGTCATTGTACATAGAAAGAGTGCTCTGCAAGACTTTGGCTTCAGTTGTCCCACCTGGTTAAAACAATATAAAATATGGTAAATAAATTTGACAAAACGTATTTAGTACATTAATTCAGAAAGAAAGGGAAAACGTTATAGTCTGATAGAATACTGGATTGTTCAAAATATTATAGGAAAAGCAAAATAATGAGAAAATATGAAACATTAGTAATCTATCTTTTGTCATTTGAATATAATTTGATATTGATATCTACAAATTTCAGGAATTTTGTTTGTTACCATGACATCCAGTTATATGACTACAATCTTCCTCAGTGCACTGACATTGTTCCTGGCAATGTGCCCCATAACTTGGATATCGACATTTTATCTCACAATATGTACCAGTATAGCCTTCGAGACAACCTAATAAATTAAAAACTTAATGAAGACAAATAAGGTACAGTAAAAAGTTTAAAGATAAAAAGTGAAAGATATGTTATATGTATTACCAATGCATCTCTTGGTAACGTCATCCCAGGTAGAGTCACCACAACATTTGTTTAGACTAAAATCAAAATAATTATAATAAAGAGCCTTGTGATGAGATGACCTACCCATTAAGAACTTTTAAAATGTTGACATTGATCATTTTTAGATCATTGAATATAAGTGATTTAAAAAAACTGAGGAAATGTATAAAATGAAATAATCTATTGCACTTCATGTATTCATCAATAAAGAATAATAGAAAGACAGCTTATGTATATTTACCTTCCACAATCTGTATCCTGTGCAACTGTAAATTCCAAAATTTTAAATATACATGTAACATGGAAAAAATGAGATTTTGAAATTCCAATCCTGCTCATTTTGTTTTATTCTTCATGAGTTATTTTTAAATCTATTGATTTTAATTCGAATATATGAAAATACATAGATCCGGAAAAGGGAAGATGAACGATTCGGAAATCATTATGGAATATTCTGTGCTGATATGCTTTCACACTGTCTGTCATTGACCTATATATTCACCTCTGAGATTGTCATGTATATTTCACAGTTATGATTAGGATAAAAGGTGAGTTTGTATTAAATTTTATAGTAATAAATTCTAGCTTTAAAAACGGTCCGTGGTTGTGGATACTTTACAGATCTAAAACTAGTAACTAGTTTTGAGATTGTAACTCTTAAAAGATAGATGATCAAACACTTTCCGTATGAACTTCGAATGGAAGAAATTGTTGATGTGCGTAAATAAATGAACGATGGTTAGGTCTTTTAAAATTCATCAAATTTTACGGAGAGAGGAATGTGTCAAGAAATGATGATTTTGATTAATTTAATGTGCTTTGCAACATTAGTTTATTTTAATAAGTTACTTGAAAACAAAATATCGTCATGCTATTAAAAAACACTTTCTTGATTGTTAAAACTTGTTTTTAAGTTAATAGGCTATTAAAATTTATAATGAGTCGGTGTGTCGTTGGGATTGCCGATGTACAATGATCAGATTCATGATTGAGATTCACACTTTTTCTCTCGTCTGAAATCTTACATTTTCTATTCTTTTATATTTTTTTCTATGTTTAAAAAAGATACCCATAGATAAAGTCGGCAATTTGTTGAATTGGAAAAGTCGGCAATTTGTTGAACTGGAAAGTTAATATATAAAGTGATTAGTTGTGAAAGACGATACAGTGTATATCGATTTTGCAACTAAGATATATAAACAACTGTCTCACTTGAA